CTCCTCCTCCTCGTTTGGTGCAGTTCTTGGTGTCTGTGTCGGTCGTACGTGAATTCCTGGATGTGGTGGCTTATCATATCCGAAGCTGGCTGAGCTTGGAGATGCGGCCAACGGGCCAACGGGCCTCTCATCTGCAAACTACGGCTGCTGCTGCCACTTGTCCTGGACATGTTAGTGCCAGAGCTGGCGGCGCTCGTGGTCGTAGAACTCGCCGGTATGAGAGCGCTGATCCGAATCGTACACATACAACATAACATAATATTGAGGATTGTGTGTAGCCCCTTTGTCGTCGCTGAAAACGGTGGTGCGTCCCCATAGTAAGTCGGCACTCTGCAAACAGGTTGATGTCGCAGCTATCTGGATTCATAGCTGCATGACATGTTTCAGCTAAAAGCGTCGGGCAGCGCATTTGATGTTCACTTATCGCGCCCTGGCAATGGCAACATCTCTCGGGGCCTAGCATTCGAAAGACACGGGCTATGCGAGAAGAGAGGGAGAGAGAGAGAGAGAGAGGGGAGAGAGGAGAGATAGAGAGAGAGAGAGAGCGAGAGAGAGAGAGAAGCATGCTAGGTGCGCTCGCGCCTCATCTGACATCCTACCCCTCCCTCCCATCCCATCCCATTGCGATGACGCGTGTCTTAGCCGACCTACAACTCCAGCCAAAAGACCCCGTCGTGTTGTGCGCAATCGGAAAACGGTGAGCTGCGTGCACAATAGGAGGTGGCGGGTGGGTAGGAGGATGAGCGGAAGGAAAAAGGACGAGGACGGACAGCAGCAGCAGAGACTGGAGTGGAAGGAGCGGGAGAAACAGGATGACCAGGGGGGGTGGCGGAGGGAAAATGAGGGGGCGACAACAATGACGAAGGGCTGGGATCCAGAAGAGTGGCCCGCGCTGAGGCGAGAGCGCCATTAACGACGGGAGCAAGGCGCCGATCCGAAAATGAGACCCACGCTGCAGCAGGAGCCAGATTCGTAAAACAAAAAAACAACAACAACAACAACAACAACAACAACAACAACAACAACAACAACAACAACAACAACAACAACAGCAGCAGCAGCAGCAGCAGCAGGAGCAACAACAACAACAACAACAACAGCAACAACAACAACAAAAACAACAACAACAACAGCAACAACAACAACAACAACAGCAGCAGCAGCAACAACAACAACCACAAAAAAAGAGATGAGGTCAGCGCTGCAGCGGGAGTATGATTGGGAAGGACCGAGAACGCGAAAATGGAGCCAACGCTGGAACGGGAGCGCCATTCTGGAAGGAGAAGGAGAGAAGGATCTATCTATATATATATATATATATATAAAATATAGACATATATATATGTATGTATATATATATATATACTAGAATCATCGCGCGCGCTTCGCGCGCGCTCAAGTTCTAGCTAGGCTTGATGGGCTAAATCATGGAATATCATGTTTGTCGTTGCTTGCATCCAGGGACTCTTTTGGAGGCCCTGCGCAAGCCTAGGAACCCTATAAGAGGGGAACTGCAGAAACGCGGAAATCATGAATTCCCGTTGGGAGTTCAACGATTTGGGGCCCTCAAAGGCTTCCTGGTTTCTTTTCTGGGAGCTGAGGGGGGCCTTATTGGTGGTCTGTTGTGCAAAAGTAGAGAAGGGACGAACTGAAAAAAAAAAAAAAGTGGGATTCCCATTTTTTCAAGTTGCCGTGCCTGGGCTGTGGGTCATCAGCGTTCTGGACACAGGCCACGGTCCGGTCGGTTGCCTCTCCGGGTCTTCGTGCAAAAATGAGCAGGTGGTGAGTTTGAAACAAAAGGAGTGTAACGCGTTCAGCTCATGGGATCATGGTCACGGTCTGTTGGAATACCTCTCCGGGTCTTCGTGCAAAAATAAGCAGGGGGAAGTTTGAAAAGAAGGAATTCTAAAATTCCACTGCTTCAACTCATGGGATCATGGGATCTCGATTTCTACGGTGGTTTCAGGGGCAGCCAAAAGGACACGAAGACGATCCAAGAGAGTGGCAAGACAGCGTCCGAGAGTTCAACAATACTCCCGAAAGATCTTTACATGTGACCCCGAAGTCTTCATGAGGGCTCGAGGAAGAGGATAGGGAGTAGGAGTCCCAACTTGAAAAAAAAGAAATCTCTAGAATACCTTGTTTCTCGAATCCCTCGGTCCCAGAGCGTTGGAAGCGGGAAAACGTGAGAAGGCGAAAAGCGTCGACAAAAACCACTGGAAAGCAAAGATTTCACCCTCTTCGGGCTCTCTCGGGACGGCTCTCGAAGCTCTCTTGGGCTGTTCTGGGGGCCTCGTCGGGGATTTGGCTGGGAGCCTCTCAAGGGTCTGGGGTGTGTTGGAGGCCTCTGGGGGGTCCTGGAGTCCTCTCAGAGGTCTCTGGAGGCCTCCTGCTCCCGCTCTTGGGCTCATCTTGGGCCTGTTCTGGGGTGGTCTGGAGCTGTCCTGGGCGCCTCTTCGGCAGTCTTGGGGCCGTCTTGGCCCGTCTTGGGGCCGTCTTGGGCGGCCTCTTGGGCGGTCTCGGGGCGGTCTTGGGGGCCTCGTCGGCCGTCTTGGAGCGTTGGAGCATGACATGGTGAGAAGGCCAAAAACCGTGCAAAAAACAAAAAACATTAACGATTGTAGGTTCTCCGGGCGCTCTCGGACGGCCTCTCGGAGCTCTCTTGAAGTCTTTCGGATGCCTCCTGGGAGCCTGGAGAGCCGCCCGTAAGCTATCCTGGGTTGTTTGGGAGCGTCTTGGGCCTTTCTTTGAAGCTCTGGGGGCATCTTGGGGTCGTCTTGGGCTCCCGGAGTCCTCTCGGAGGTCTCTGGCGGCCTCCTGCTCCCGCTATTGGGCTCATCTTGGGCATGTTTTAAAACCATCGCGCGCGTCGCGCGCGCTCAAGTTCTAGCTAGGCTTGATGGGCTAAACCATGGAATCTCATGTTTGTCGTTTCTTGCATCCAGGGACTCTCTTGGAGGCCCTGCGCAAGCCTCTGGAACTGCGGACCCGCAAAAATCATTAATTGCCGTTAGATATTCAACGATTTGGGGCCCTCGAAGGTTTCCTGGGTTCTTGTCTGGGGCCTTCATTGTGGTCTGTTGTGCAAGAGTAGACAAGGGGGGCGAACTTGGAAAAAAACGGGATGGTGGGGTTTCCCTTTTCTTCAAGTTGTAGTGCCTGGGCTGTGGGCTAGACGTTTTCTGGATGCAGGCCACGGTCTGTTGGAATACCTCTCCGGGTCTTCGTGCAAAAATAAGCAGGGGGTGAGTTTGAAAAAAAGGAATTCTAAAATTCCACTGCTTCAACTCATGGGATCATGGGACCTCGATTTCTACAATGGTTTCAGGGGTAGCCAATAGGACACGAAGACGATCCAAGAGAGTACCAAGACAGCGTCAGAGAATTCAACAGCATTCCTGAAACACTTTTGCATGTGACCCCGAAGTCTTCATGAGGGCTCGAGGAAGAGGATAGGGAGTAGGAGTCCCAACGTGAACAAAAAAGGAAATCTCTGGAATTCCCTGCTTTTTCCAAATTCCTCGGTCTTGGAGCGTTGGAAGCCGCAAAACGTGAGAAGGCGAAAAGCGTCGACAAAAACCACTGGAAAGCAAAGATTTCACCCTCTTCGGGCTCTCTCGGGACGGCTCTCGAAGCTCTCTTGGGCTGTTCTGGGGGCCTCGTCGGGGATTTGGCCGGGAGCCTCTCAAGGGTCTGGGGTGTGTTGGAGGCCTCTGGGGGGTCCTGGAGTCCTCTCAGAGGTCTCTGGAGGCCTCCTGCTCCCGCTCTTGGGCTCATCTTGGGCCTGTTCTGGGGTGGTCTGGAGCTGTCCTGGGCGCCTCTTCGGCAGTCTTGGGGCCGTCTTGGCCCGTCTTGGGGCCGTCATGGGCGGCCTCTTGGGCGGTCTCGGGGCGGTCTTGGGGGCCTCGTCGGCCGTCTTGGAGCGTTGGAAACATGAAATGGTGAAGAAATCGAAAAAGAAACTACAAAAAAACTAGATTAAAACATCATGTTATTGATTTTTGTATTTGGGGTTCTCCGGGCGCTCTCGGACGGCCTCTCGGAGCTCTCTTGAGGTCTCTTGGAGGCCTCCTGGGAGCCTGGAGAGCCGCCCGTAAGCTATCCTGGGTTGCTTGGGAGCGTCGTGGGCCTTTCTTTGACGTTCTGGGGGCATCTTGGGGTCGTCTTGGACTGTCTCTGGGCATTGTGGGGGCTCCCTGGGAGGCCGGGAAGCGCGGTACCGGGAGCGTACATCAAACGTGAGCGAGGTGGAGGACGCCCCGGGAGGGGGCCCGGCGTATGTTGTTATATCTATAAATACAGACATACATACATACATACATACATACATACATACATACAGACAGACAGACAGACAGACAGACAGACAGACAGACATACACGCATGCATACATACATACATACATGCATACATATATATATATATATATACAGACATACATAGACACATACATACATACATACATACATACATACATACATAAATACATACATACATACATACGTACATACATACATACATACATACATACATACACACATATACATGTACATATACATATACATATACAACAACCTATACATATACGCATGCATATACATATACATAGACATACACATGTGCATATACATATACATGTATATACACACATACATGCACATAGACGTATACATATACCTATACACATACATACACATATGAATATACAGATACATATACAAATGCATGTACACATACATATGCATATATGTATATACATATAACAATACATATACATATACGTATACCTATACGTATACATGTACATATACACGTACAACTACAATTACATATACATCTACACATACATACAGACATACATACACACAGACATACGTGGGCACATACCTACATACAAATAAACAGACATACATGCATCCATGCATACATACATATTTACAGGTTACTATAGGGAGACAGCGAGAGAGCGAGAGGGCGAAGTCACCAGGCCTCTCTTGTATCATAGCGTGAAGCAAGGCTTGGACGTACTGCAAGACACCATGCACCTCGAAGTATTCCTTGGCCGATGACGCGGTGTCCTGAGAGGCTCCCGACATCCTCCTATCCGTGCTCCTCCTCCTCCTCCTCCCCCTCATCCTGCTCCTCCTACCACCCTGCCCTTCCCCCCTCTCATCCGGTTCATCCTCCGTCTCACCCTCCTTGTCGTTACCCGTTCTCAGGACTCTGTGCTCCTTGGCTGAGCTCGACTTGATGGGCTTCGCGCCCGCGTCGGGCGTCTGCCGCACGTCCAGGCCCACCGCAATACCAGAACCCACGAAATCCATATTGTATTTCGACTGGCTCGGGTGGATGACCTGCGGCACACACACACACGAAAAACAAATACACATGATTTACCCCGTCCGCCGCCGACCCCGGAATAATGCGACGACATGCTCTGTTCGAACTAACAGCATTGGCTCTTGAAGGAGTCCAAACCAAAGATCTGTCACTGGAGGTGTACACCCTGCGAAATGCTTAAGAAATCATGGGTTAAGAAATTCATAGTCTCAGAAATTGAATAATACCCAGAACTTCTATCAAAAATCTTGGGATTCACATTGAAACGTTAAGAAAAATCGAGACTCTGGCCGAAAACTTGAGTTTTCTTAAGCATCGCCTAAGGTGTACGTGTTGAAGCTTCGTCCAAATAGCCGTTGATTTTCCGTGGAGGGGGAGTGACCACGCGAGCGCTGCAGACGGGCTGCAGCACCTCGATCTTCAGCGGCTCGCTCAGGCCCTGCGAGCATGGGAACCTGAAGGGATGGTCCTGAAAGCAGAAAAACCTGCACATCCACAAACGTGTCGGAGGTCCGCGCGGGCTTGTCGGATCGGCGCTGGACCCCCTCGCTGACGCGCGGGGCGCGCCAGGGGCGGCGCCGGAGGCGCCTTCAGGGGGGCCCAGCGGAGACCCAAGAAATCTGCGCAGAGCTCCGAAAGTTTATGTAGATGCTGATTTTTCTTCCTCGGTGCTCCAGCGCGGCGCGCAGCTTTGCCTGGAGGGGAAAATAACGGGGACCATGACCAAGACCGAACGCGGAAACGTCCTGTCGATCGTGGTCTGCTGGTGGATACTCCTCGTGAATCGGCGACGGCCGACATGGACCATGACCAAGACAGGCATCGACAAGATACAGCCGAGCAAACGATCATGCAATATATATATATATATATATATATATATATATATATATAGATATAAGTGCATATAATTCAAGAAACCTGGGCCAGCTTCCTGGAAGCTTCTAAAGACAAACCTGGGCCAAGTGTTCGTGTTAACACTGGAGGAACGAGCAGGCTCAAGAGATCAGGCAAGCTGGTTAAGGAAAGCTGGCCCGGTTTTTCGGGAGGAGGTTTCTTAATCAGATAATCGACTGTGGTGGACCATCTTCGGTTATCGGCTACGGTCGACATGGACCATGACCAGCATTGACAAGATAGGCATCGACAAGATCCAGGTCAATGCAAACGCGGGTCCGTCAGGCTTTGCAAGATCCTGCCAGATCCTGCTGGATCCTGCACCGAAGCCCGGGTCAGTGCGGCCCTGGCCCTGCGGGATCCTGCAAGATCCGGCGCTCTGACTGCTCCCCGTTTGCAGTGACCCCCGTCTCAAGGCCGCCGGCTTTCTCGGGTCGGGCGAAAGGGGGGGATAGCAAAGGGGGGGTTTGAGAATCAGCTCACGTAGCTGATTCTCCCGGCGCCTCCCGGCGCCAGAGGCGGCCATGTGTCGAGGAATGGGCCCCTCGGTGAGACCGAAACCAGCTGCATGCAGCAGATTTCGTAACCCCCCCTTTCCCAATCCCCCCCTTTCGCCCGGCCCGGCTTTCTTCTCTCGAGGGCCTGCCGCCGCACCGACCCGAGCCGGAGCGAGACGACGGCGTCGTGGGGCGCGCCGGGCATCTCGCGGACGAGGACCTCCATCCTCCGCAGGGGCCGGAGAGCCGTGCGCCCCTCGGGCCAGACGAGGGCCCACCAGGAGGCCGAAGCAGGGCCAGATCCTGACGCTTGTCCTCCTACTACTCCTACTATTCCACCTCCTCCTCCTCCTCCTCCTCCTCCTCCTCCTCCTCCTCATCATCATCATCAGCAGCAGCATCATCATCATCATCAGCATCATCCTCATCATCCTCATCCTCATCATCATCATCATCATCATCAGCATCATCATCATCATCATCATCATCATCAGCATCATCATCATCATCATCATCATCATCATCATCATCATCATCATCATCATCATCATCATCATCATCATCATCATCATCATCATCATCATCATCATCATCATCATCATCATCATCATCATCATCATCATCATCATCATCATCATCATCATCATGTCCTCCTCCTCCTCCTGCTCCTCCTCCTCCTCCTCCACCTCCTCCTCCACCTCATTCTTTTCCGCCTCCTCCGCCTCCTCCTCCGCCTCCTCCTCCTCCTCCTGGTCCTCCTCCGGGGTTAGGGAATCCGCTGCACGCAGCTGGTTCTCAGTGCTTGGCGGTGGGGCCAAACCAGCTGCGCGCAGCAGTTTTCGCAGAATCCCCTTCCCAAAACCCACCCTTTCGTGTCCAAACCAATACTCGTTACTCACTACTGCGGAGGAGGAGGAGGAGGAGGAGAAGGAAAGGAGGAGGAAGTGCTGGAGAAGGAAAAAGGGGAGGAGGAAGAGGAGGAAGAGGATGAGGAGGAAGAGGGAAACCCTAACCAGGCCAAGGAGGAGGAGGCGATCTGGGCTCGGCTAGGGCTCCTCCTCGAGGGGGGGATCCCTGACCAGCCCTGGGGAACTCCCTCCCTCCTTCTCCTCCATTCCTTTTCTTGATGAAAAGCTTCCCCCTATCGAATCCGAGGGCGAAGAACGCCCGTCCGCTGCCGCCCTGGTACGGGCAATGCAGGCTGCTATCTTCGCGTGCCAAGAGTGAGCCAGGGGCGCAGAGCCACGTTCACTCTACGTTTGCCCTTCCTCCTCTTGTCCTCCCCCTCCTCCCCCTCCTCCTCCTCCTCCTCCTCCTCCTCCTCCTCCTCCTCCTCCTCGGAGGCGGCAGCAGAATAGGCGAATTCAGTGGTAACCAGCCTGTCCTGGGAAATGCGGCCGAAGTGTCGCAACCCAGATTTGTTGCGGCCTCCCTTCGCCACCTCCTCCCCCTCCTCCTTGAGCCAAAGGAGGAGGAGGAGGAAGAGGAGGAGGAGGAGGAGGAGGAGGAGGAGGAGGAGGGAGGAGGAGGAGGAGGAGGAGGAGGAGGAGGAGGGATAAGAGAGGAGGATGAGGAGGAGGAGGAGGAGGAGGAGCAGCGGTGCGATAAGAAGGCGGAGTCTCCTCGGCAGCGGCGGCAGCGCCCGCCCACGGCCGAGCTCCTCAAATGAAGTCGTTGTCGACCCCATCGGCGACGGCGTCGAAGGCAGTGTCGAAGGTGTTGAAGTCGAGGCCATCGCTGACGGCAGTGTCGATGTCAGTGTTGTCTTGGCCGTCAACGACGGCAGGATGGGGCGCTGCAGGCACGGATGCATCCAGTCCGCGGGGCGCAGCATGAGGCCCGTCTCGAGGCAGATCTTGGTGGACAGTTGGTGCAGGTGTGCGCCCGAACTCAGGGCGGTTGCCACCCATGTCCAGACGATCCAACGCAGCACGGCGGGCAGAAAGGTGTGCAGAGTAGTCATCACGCCTTCGTTCAGGACCATTCTTCATCTCCAGGTACATGTAGTAGGACAGTACGAGCCTCCTCATCGTAGCCCACATCGATTTTTCGTGTGGATCGTCGCGCTCGTATTCTCCCTCATCGCCAAGGCCAATCCTCGCCAGAACTGTATCATGAGAAAAGGCACGAGGAAGGCATACATGATGTTGAAGACGAGGACATACCAGATAGTGCTGAATAGCGTCGTCGGCATCACATCCAAAGGCACATTGAGCTCGCTCAGGGTGAACATGCATTCTCGAGGATGTGTGCCACCCGCCTGCCAAAGTCCGAACCACAATCCACCGCCACGAAGGAGACACCTTGGCTAGGAAGGATTTCAGGTGGAGCCACCTCGTCCGCAAACTCCGCATGGATATCGACATGCCATACCACTTTTGCAGGCGCTTGGAGATGGTCTGATGAAATCTATCAGGGAACATCCGCGACGTGATTTGTTGAAGGAAGCATCGTTGAGGTCGCGGCCGGTGTCCAGCTGCACGTGCGTCCTCAGCCGTCTTGCGGGCAATCTCAGCAGCAGCTTCCAGGGATGAGCTCGATCGCATCGGTAGCAGCGGGGACTGGCCCGAGTTCAGGGCGGCGTAGCGCTGCACTATAGCCATCGGCTCTTTCCAGAAAGGGGGTGACCATCGTCCCCTCGCAAATGCAGGTAACGGGCAGTATTGGACCGCCATGGCATCGAGCAAGCCAAGAAAGTGCGTCCAGCCTACGATCGTGTAGTTGGCCATGCGCCACATCGTGGCAACATTGTACAGTTTGAGGGATGTTGGCGAAGGGGACGTCATCCATGTCGACATCGCTAGGATATCCTGAAGCCTGAACGTGCTCGGGGGCATACGCAGAACACGATGCAGGGCATGTATTTCTCGTGTCAGAGCCACTTTAGGAAGCCAGAAGAATTGCGCGAGGTAGCTCAGGACCGTGATGCTCGAGGACTGATATAGCCGTGCCAGTGCATCCGTCGGAGCACCAGAAGTAGACAAGGCAAAGAGACGGTCCCACCACTTCGGGACCGCCTTCAACCATTGCAGTTCATTGGTCGCTCCAGGTCCAATATGTGCGCCAAGGTAGACACCAACATCAGCAATCAAGAAGTTACTCCAAGCTGGAATCTGTTCTGCCAAGAAAAAGCGAATCACAGACCGTACCTGATCGTCAAGAGCAGCCCAAAGGGGGATGATCACACACTTGGTCACATTGACGGCGAGGTGGCCGTACTTTTCTGCGCAGTCGAAGACCTGGTGGATCTTGGGCAGGAGACGCAAATGGTTCAGGTGAACGCCTAGATCGTCAGCGCATGCGGACGCAGAGCCTTCTTCTTCGGTCGGGAGAATCTCGGCAATCGCTCTGAGAATGACATCCATGGCGATGGCCCATATGGTACCAGAAAGAGGGCAGCCTTGCGCGACACCAGAGCGCATGTAGCACACGAAGCGGTAGGCGCCGTCCAGCGTGATCATGGCCTGGCCACCATCGTAAAGGGCACGTACGGCATTGATGAAGCCCTCGGCATACTGAAAGTTAGCGAGCGCTGCAAACAACCACTGCCTTCCCAGCGACGGGAAGGCCGCCGCAATGTCGAACAGGATCTGGACTGGATGTTCTGACCCAGCCGATGGCCTCCATCCAGCAATCCTCCCCAGCGTGTCCATGATCATTATATTATTGCAGAAGTTGCGGCCTCTGATGAAGCCTTGTTGTATAACGTGCGCCCGTTGCTCCACAGTAGTTTTCATCTGCTCGTTGATGGCCGCCGCGAAGATCTTGGAATCGGTGTTCTTCCTGGAAATCGGCCGCAGGGCCGCTGCAAGCCGAGTGCAGGTAGTGTTGTCCATCTCCTCCGTGCCCTTGGGAATGAACGAGAACAGTGAGTCATTGAAAGAGAAAGGTGCCACTCCAGTCTCCATCGCCTGCCACGCGATGTCATCTAGCGCGTCCAAGGCACCTGGCGTCGCCGTCCACGCTCGATACGGAAGTCGGTCCGGACCTGGTGCTGATGCACGAGCACGCTGAGCGGCACGTCGGAGCGCTGCAACCGAAGGAAGAACCAAGGCAGGTGGTTGAAAAGGAGGAGGCGCGTGCCGAGCAACAAACTCCTTCATACCAATCTCGTCGACGGGCTTGTCGGCAAAAATCGGGAGCCAGTGCTTCTGCAGCTCGTCCAGCATGTCCTGAGGTGATTTGACAACGGTGTCGGAATCAGGGATACGAATACCGACCAATGTGAGAATACGTGCAAACGGGGCCCAAGCTCGAGCACGACGCTGTAGAATGCGTGCTTGTTTCTGTTGGTGTTCAGCTTCAGCCGCTCGTTGGGCCAGTGCGGCTCGACGGGCAAACGTCAGCGCACGCTCCTTTCTTTTGATAAGGTGTTGGTGGTGGGCAAGACGTGACATTTCTGCGAACTCCACCTCCGAGCGCAGCGAGACATTGCCTTCCTCGATGCTCAGGAACTGCTCACCAAGCGCGTTGAACGACATTAGGGCCCCCGCAAGCTCGAAGTCCTGCCGCCATACCGCTCGAGAGATGGATCGCAGGGCCAGCAGCTTAACTTCATCAGAGAACTGAAAACGACGTCCTCCAGGCAATTCAAGGAGATGATTGCGTGTAAGTCGAGCAGCTTGGACCATGTTGTCTTTCGTGATTCTCCACAGCATATGCGGGCTTGCGCACTTAGTGCGAGAACAGGACATCAAGCGCTCATAGAACTGCTGGTAGAGCGGGGTCTGGAACAAGAAGTCAGGGATCTGTTGAACTTCATCAACCTTGGGCCTGGCCGTCGCTATGGTAAGCCCCGAGATCGCATGGTCACTAAGCCGTCGGTCACTCAATAGTGTCGGGTCAACCAGCACTGCCAACTTCAGCGAGAGATTGGGAATAGCATGTGGGGGGAGCGAAGTGAAGACTCTATCAATTCGCGTTTGTCGAAGTGTATGTGGATCAAAACGAGTTGGCTCACCAGTCGTAACTTCCGTCAACAAACCAAAGAGGCGTCGCCAGAACGCCTGCTGGAATGCATCTCCTCGCACAGTAGGGAGTAGAATTGGAGCAGGCGTGACGAATGACACAGCTGGTTCATCGTGAATATTGAAGTCGCCCATGGCAATGAAGATCCGCGATCTCGGCGACGAAGAGGCCCATGCAGCATAGCGTCTCCATTTGAGGTCTATCTCCTTGCGATGACGAATGGTGAGGCCAATGTTGTGGATATTCATAGCGACACCAACACAAGAAGAGCCAGCAAAGACCTCCGCAACCTGGACGCGCCCAACTGCGAGGACAGTGTGGACAATCGTGAGCTTCGTGCCAGAGGTGTGTATTCGGTCCGCTGGTAGCGTCGGTACCCACGCCGCAGTCGTCCTCAGCGGACGGTGGTCTCCAGCATCCCGTGGGAGGTCTTGAAACCGACACCCGAGTGACGAAGAAGAGGTGGGTGAAGAAGAAGAACTCGAGGAGGAGGAAGAGGTAGCATTGCCCACATCCAGACTGGACGACGCTCGTGATGGTGAAGAGCAGCACCCCGAGGAGCCAGAAGCCGTAGACGACGGGGCCTCCGCTGCGAGATCTGCGATATCGATGGGTTGGCCGAGGGCGTCCTCTTTCGGAATCAGCATGGCCACTCCACCAGTACTCGCAACTCCGCCCCCACTGTAGAGGACATGATATTTGAAGGGTAGGGCCCCAACTGCTCGGCGAAGGCGTGGACCAGACCCGTGAACTTCTTGGATCAAGATGAGGTAGTTCATGCGCATGTATTGTTTCAGTAACTCGAACTTCTGTTTTCGCTTCTTGGTATTGATCGTGAGGAGGCCCCTAGCGTTCCACGACACCAGCTTGAGCTGGGAGGGCGACGCGTAGGAACCAGTGATGCTACCCCCACGACACTCCTCTGTCCTCGGCGAAGAAGTCGTTGAAGGCGCGCTCGATAGCGGCAGTGTCGATGTGAAGCTTCGTGGCCTGGGCATAATTCCAGATGATCTTGGTATCGATGTTGGCCGCAGCGCCCACGTCCAGACGCACCAAAGGCACGCCCACCGCAGAAACACGACCTTTCTGTTTGAAGGGGCGGAAGTCGATGTCGGCCTTGGATTCCTTGAGGAGGAGGTGCAAGCGTCTAGTCTGGATCTCTCGTCTGATCTGTCGCGGGCTCCTGTCTGTCGAGACATACAAGGGTATCGTTTGGCCCGCAACCGACATAGCCGAAAACTGGCGCCAGCTGCCACCCGCGAGCTTGAGGGCACGAGCCAGTGCCACCGCTCTCGGAGAAACCACAGCAGGGCCGCCAAGAAGACGAAGAATGAAACGTCGGGCAGGTACATCACCTTGAAGCGTGGCCGTGGAGATGTCGACTCCAGAGTCCCTGAACCAACCCACGAGGGCCTGCTGAACCAGCTGCGGGGCCACAATGTCTGGAGCTCCAATGGAGAAGACCGCGGGGTCAGGAGGCCTGTCGAAGTCGGACTCGGCGATGACATCGGGGACCGCCGTCTGCGCTTCCGCGATCGCCAACGCCTTCTGGATGGTGTCGATGGCTTCCTTGTGGCGTTTCTGCTCGGCCTCGGAGTCCTGGATCCTCTGCTTGAGCTGCGCCAACTCGCTCTCGTTCGCGTCGATACGCTTTGCCAGGGCAGCCTGCTCCGCATGGATCGCCGTCGCCACCGTGATAGCCGTGGCGCGTTTGAACTCGGCCATGGTGGAGTCCACGTGCTCCGTGAGCTGCCTGTAAAGGGACTGGTGGATGGCCTCCACTGTTCCTGGGGCGGCCTCCACAGCTGGAACAGCGCCTGCTGCAGCGGCGGAGGGTACTCCTGCGGCACCAGGTGTGGCGGTACCAGCTGCTCCTGCTCGCCAGGGGTCGGCACGATGAAGGGGATCATCCTCTGGTTGGGTGGGGAAGGCCTCCAAGTCTCTGGCGATCGATTCAATCTGCGACTCGGTGAGGGCTGGGTAGGGCGCCGTCGCACCGCCTGCTGCAAAAGGCGGTCCACCAGCGGGTCCACTTGGTCGCTGGGGATGCGGTCGATGGTCTGCAGCAGCTCGCTCGTCTCGGTCTCCGCGCCGTCCGTCTCGACGTCGGTCCCGCTCATGTCGACGCTCTCGCGGCTCAGCAGGGCGAGGTCTGGCACTGTCGAAGTCCCGAGGAGGCCGCCGCTCTCTCCGCGAACCCCCACTGCGCGAGGTGCGCGACTTGTCGTGGTCAGAATCACTGCTCGACATGATGGCAACACCAGTGCCAGCAGCACGCCGAGGATATGGACGAGGAGCCCCTCCTGGCAGCGGCGGCCGCAGCGGGGAGCAGCGCACATGAAAGAGCAACGAGGACTGGATGGGAGCCTACCCCGCTTAGGCAGTGAAGAAGTAACCATCTTGGCTCTTGAGCCAAAATGGCTACGGAGGAGGAGGAGGAGGAGGAGGAGGAGGAGGAGGGAGGAAGAGGAAAGAGGAGGGAGAAGGGAGAAAGAGAGGGCCCCCGAGCGCAGAAGCAAGGCTTTCCTGCTGCCGCCCCTTTCGCCGGCGCCCGGCCCGAGGCAGGCTGGCGCCCGTCGCCCCCCCACGGCGCGCGGGCGGCGAATGGGGAGGATGGTCGGCGCCGGCAAGAGGGAAGGTAGATCAGGACGCCTGGTTCGCGTCGCGATGTCGCGGGCGTTGGCGCCTTACGCCTCGTGGATCGTTCATCCTGGGACGATCGCGGCTCTCCGATAGCGCAGATCGCTGGACATCGGCCGACGCTGGGCCACTGGCGGCGCTCCGCCTCGAACGCCCGCGGCGGGGCCGCCGCCGTGTAAACGCGGCGCGGACCTGCCGCAATCTAGGGGCGGGCATTTCGCGAACTCGCCAGGGGGGGCCTCGCCGAACACGAGGGTCGGTCGGAGCCCCCGGACGCATGCAGTGCCCGCTCCCCGACATCCGACGACGCGACTTTCATCCCGTCCGCGGCCCCAGAGGTCCCGACCCCCCTGGAGGGAGGTTTTCGCCCCGGATCCGTTTCTGGTGGCCGCTTGGCCAGACAACGAGCCCCTGAAAGTTGTCCTTTCAACGCTGCTCACTAGGCGCATACGGACCAGAGAACTTGCTGACATTGTTGGTGGCGTTCGTTTCGATCGGACCACAGACGAAGAGGATGCAGTAACCAAACCTGGCCGCGAGGAGTTCACTTGTACGAAAAGACAACGAGCCCTCGAGGCCGAAGTCTTGGAAACGAGCCCCGATTGACAGAATGCAGCTCGGCTGCACGCAAGAGTGACCCTGGGCAAGAGTGACCTCTGGTGCGACGCCTGAACGGGGGACGCGGGGTGGCCAAACCTGGGCGCGCAAGCCGCAGCTACCGCATCGCGCTCAGCGATCGGGGGTCGGACCCCTCTGGGCTCGCACCAAAGGTCACTCCGGCGAAGGGCCACTCCTGCGTGTATTCGACCTGCCCTGCGCTGTCCGCCCCTCGTGCCGCCGCTGAAGACGAGGGCTGGCCCCGCTTCTGCCCCCCAGCGCCTCTTCGAGGCCAGCCCGCGGGCACCGCCCCCCCCCCCCACCCGCCCTCCACCACCCCACCTCCCGCCCTCCCACACTCCCTCCCTCCCTTCGTCCTCCTCCTCCTCCTCCTCCTCCTCCTCCTCCTCCTTCTCCTCCTGCTCCCTCCCTCCCTCCCTCCCTCCCTCCCTCCCTCCCTCGATGGCTCAATGGCGGTTCGGGTGCCACCCCATGAACCATGCCTGATACAAAGTCGGTTAGGGTTGGGCGCTCAAGTCGCGAGAGGAGCGACGAGCAGCGCGGCGGAGCGCTCAGGACCCAACGAAGAAGACAGGCACAAAACGCCCAGGGCCCGTCGGGTAGGATTTCGAGCTCCGACACGCGGCGACGGGCCGCCACCTCGCGCACGGACCTCCCGAGGTCCCGAGCTCCCTCCCTCCTCCTCTTCCTCCCTGTTCCTCCTCCTCCTCCCTCGTCCTCGTCCTCCCTCCCTCCTCCTCCCTCCCTCCTCCTCCCTCCTCCTTCCTCCATCCCTCGTCCTCTTCCTCCCCCTCTCCCCCGAGAAGCTGGCGTGGCGATGTTCTCCAAGCCCAGCGACTTCGCCCCCTTCACGGGCCCTGGGGCCCTCAAGGCCCCATCTGGGTCGAGGAAACGTCGCAGGAAGACGGGGTCTGGGGCTCCGGCTGCGATTTCCAACGACAGCGCGGCGTTTGCGCATCGTCGGATCTCAGAGTCTGCCGCCTTCTCCAGAGGAGCCCCGGGGGCAGGCCAGCGAGGGGGGAGCGGAGGGTTTAAGTGGGGGTGGGCCGACAGCCGGGGCGGGGAGGGGGGGGGATACCGGGAGAGGGAAGCGGGGGGGCTGGAGGGGAAGGGACGGACGACTGGCGGACGGAACGGGAAGGAAGAGACGTCGTCGTCGTCGTCGTCGTCGAACGTCGTCGTCGAACGTCGTCGAACGTCGTCGTCGTCGTCGTCGTCGTCGTCGTCGTCGTCGTCGTCGTCGTCGTCGTCGTCGTCGTCGTCGTCGTCGTCGTCGTCGTCGTACGTCGAACGTCGAACGTCGGATGAGGCGTCTGCCGTTCTCGCAGAGGGGGAATAGAGGGAGGAGGGAGGGGGAGAGGAGTCGAGTCGAGTCGATCGCCTCGGAGCCCAAGGATCCGTCCGAGCCGAAACACCGAGCAGACTGTGCGGGCCTGGGTGGCAGAGTGCATCCAGGATCTGTGGCAAACGTGCCGCTGACGGCGCGAAGTGTTCCCCCCCCCACCCTCCCAGATAACGGTTCTTCAGCATTGTTTCCACTTCCCTCCCCTGGGAAGAGCAGTGGAGGTGAGAGAGGGAGGGTGCTCTGCGTTCTTTGCCTTTGGTGCCAATCGCTGTCCGCGGCGGGGGTCGATCTTGGGGCCGTTCGGCGGGGTTGGTGGCCCCCCCTGGCGCTCGCAAGGGAACCCTGAGCAGGGGAAGTGGATGGTGTCTCGGTCGGTTGACGACATACGGGCCATACGCCTCCCAACCATCGACTCTCCTGAACCGGTGGGAGGCGGGGGTGGGGTTCGGATTTCGCCACGTGTTCGACGAATTCCGACCTCCACTGCCGCCGCCCATCGAGTTGCCTGAATCGTTGATCGGCGAGGGCAGGGTTCTGAGTTCGCCGCCGATCGGTCCTACCCCTTGGCCGGGCAGCGCCAAGGGGACGGGACCACTGGGGGGGGGGTAGCCACCTCGGGGAGGACCCCCCCCACACCGCCAAGGGCCAGCCGAAGCCAAGGGGCATCCAGCACCGACCCCAGAAATCCGCGCGGACCTCCGAAAGTGTGACGTTTATGCAGATTCTTCGTCTCCTCCTCCTCCTCCTCCTCCTCCTCCTCCTCCTCCTCCTCCTCCTCCTCCTCCTCCTCCTCCTCCTCCTCCCTCGGTCCTCGCGCCCCTGGAGCCTCGATCTTCGGGAGGAGCTGGCGACCCCCCTGGTGGTGACCCCCCCTCGAGGGGCAACGTCAGGGGGGCCCCGGCTCCGATCGGGGGGGGGGGACCTCGACGTGGATAGGGAGCCCACAAAGGACGTACGCGCCCAGCTATGTACATGAACACGGCCCCTCGATCCGCGAGACTGGCCGCGTTATACGAACATTTGCGCAATGCGTACTCTCGAAACCAGCGTGGATTCATGTACGTGTACGTCCTTTTTTCGCTCCTGAGTGGAATCAGCGACACCTAGCCTTGCAGATCGGCGACGGGCCCGTGATGGCAAATCCGCACGTTCCTGGGCGGGGCGGGTTATCAGGCCCCCATCGTCGATGAGCGAATTGGCGATCGAGGGCCGATGCCTTCTCCCCTATGCCTGTCCCCCCCGAGTTCGTTGCCCATGGAATCATGCAGCAGTCTGCATCGGAGGTTGGGGGGGGGAGATCGGAGTGGAACAGAAGGCCCCCCACCAGGACCTGACCTGGGCCGCCCGTGGACTCTACGCTCGAGCGGCCCACACAACGGGCGCCCTCCCGCGCAGCCCCCCCCCTCCGATGGATCTTTAGAAGGTGCGTCGGCGCCAGCGTGTGCTCGTCCACGGACGCCCTTCAATACGACACAAGCGGTGCAACGATCCCAAAGATCCGACGCTCCGGAAAGTTTGCAGCGGCGGCTTGTTGGCCGTTTTCGGCCTCCAGGGGCCCTCGCCGATTCCATGGACCGTCAAAAAAAGACCACGGACGGACAACCTATCCCAGGGAAGTGGTCCAGACTTCCCAGGCACACGCATCGATAAAATTGGATCAATCGGATGTCTGGGATGGCCGACACAGGCCGAGCGGGGCAAACACACATGGGACACTGGGACAAGAATGGAGAGACACAAAATGGCATAAGCATGAACCTTAGGAGGTCCGCGCAGACCGCGGGAAGTTTCTGCTCAGGCCGTTGTGTTAGGAAAGGAGGTTCTGTTCAGGCCAGTTTTTAAGGAAGGAGAACGATGCACACAGACATCGATTCTGGCCAGGCCCACTCTGAGCCCAAGATCAGGGCATTCGCCCTCGTGGCTTGGCCAGAAAAGCGTATGGTTACACCGATCCTGCAACCCTCCTCGAAATCAAACGCAACTTTTCAATGCTGGTCGGCGCGCGGGGTCAGATTCGTGTGCTCTCAATCGCCCACTTCGGCGCGAACGCTGACATGTTGGGGCCCTTGGGCGCCGCCACGTCGCGGGAAGAAACCTGCGCTTGACTTCGGGGGGGGAGACGTGGGCCCCGGCTGGGCCCGGCCAGGGCCCGTGCACGTGCACGGCTCTCTTCGCCCGGTGGATTGCAAAAAAAAAACCGAAGGATTGCAACGAAGGACTGCAAAAACGAAGGATTGCAAAAAAAAAAAAGAAGGAGGGTTTTTTTGCAATCCTCCATCCAGGGTTTTTTTTTTGCAATCCTTTTTTGCAATCCTTTTCTGCAATCCTCCGACAGCACGCACACGTCCTGAGGGTGGTCGTCCCCTCCCCGGCCGAGCCCGGCGCCCGGCGGCCAGGAGGGCGCCCGCCCCGACGGCCCAGGGCAGCCACGGCCCGGGCACGGAAGCCGAGCCGGCGCTCTCCGCCCAGGGGCCGTGCGTTCGCCGACCGCCGTCGGCTGCGCTTCGAGCCCAACGGCTGAGGATACATCGAGGCAGGTCACCCATCCTCCTTCTTCTCCTCCGACTGCTCCTCCTCCTCCTCCTCCTCGTCCTCCTACTGCTGATCCCCCCCGAACCCCACCTGCCCCTCCTCGCCCTCCTCATCATCCTGCGCATCCTGCTCCTCCTCCTGCTGCTCTACCGCGTCATACACGTCCTCCCCCTGCCCCCTCCAGCTCTTTACCTCCCTCTTCCTTCACGTCCTCCTCGTCCTCGTCGTCATCGTGTTCAGGGCCGGCGGCACCGAGCGTAAGGCCGTCGCAATACATTGAGGAAGGTCACCCTTGGCAAGGGCTCCCAACTTCGCGCTTCGCGCTGCGCGAAGCGCGAAGCGCGAATAACTTCGCGCTCTCGCGCCGCCCCCCCAAAGGGAGAAAAGGAGGACGAGGAGGAGGGGGAGAAGGAGCGAGGACCGCGAAGCGCGAAGCGCGAATAACTTCGCGCCCTCGTGGGAGCCCTTGCTTGGATGTTCGAGCCGACGGGCGCCCGAAACAATGAGGCGTAGACTGACAACGTAGGTCCGGCGCGCTGCGTTCGCCAAAACGAGGGCCGACACGTGCCGACACGAACACGCAGCGTACCAAAACGGACGTTTTGAACACGCTGCGTGCTGCGTTTCATGACGGGCGCATCAGAGCACCTACGGCAGGTTCGTGTCGTGACGACCCCAGCGTTGGTTTCTGACGCCGCGTGGATCGTTCAACCTTGAACAATCGGCGACCGTCCATCGCTCGATCGTTCCATATAGGCCGATTCTGGGCCACTGGCGGCGTTCAACCTTGAACGCCCGCGGCGGGGTCGCCGCCGGTCGACACGACGCGGACCTACCGTACGTAAGCTAAGGATGCATGGCGAACTCTGGGAAGCCTGAACCCAAAAAGGTTGGCATCTCTTGGGGGCGCATCTCGAACGTCCGCCGGCTTCCGCGGGCCTTCCGTGTTTGTCCGACGCTACACCCTTCAAGATTCGGCTGGGTGTCTTGCGAGCGGCTCGATGAAGAAAGAACAAACGCGTTCGTGGCGCAGCACCAATTCACAAAGTGCCCAGACATATGATACCACAGCACAGAACACCAAGGCACTTCGAACTGTGCTGGAGCCCGAAGGGGGCACTGAGACAGGGATGGCAAGCCGGCCAAAACTGACCAAGATCATGATCCTGTACCAGAGCACCCCTCCTCTGAGGGAGTTGCACGACGAGAACAGCTGCCACACAGTCTTCTAACTATGCGGTGGGCCTCGCCTTGCGAAGTTCATGCGAACTACAACCGTCCAGATAAGAACGGGCAACAGCGTTTTCCCGCTCATATTCGAAGTAACTCACTCCGAGCAGAAATACTAAGAGACGCCGAGAGAAAAGGCGAGCAGGGCAGGAGAAAAGCGGCAGGCAAATTGGCATCACGGCTGGCGGCGGCCGCCTGAGGCCAGTGGCAGTCGCTCCGACCAGTTGGCGCTGCCGCGGCTGTCGACCATCCGAATAGCATGGGCAACGCGCTGGCCTGCGAAATCAACTGTCCTTCCCAAGAAGGGAAGCCGAAGCACCGACCAAACGTCTATCCCACGAAGGGCAGCTGAGCACCGACGCGCCCTTGACGAAACAGTAAAGGAATAACTAGTGAATAGCTCCAACTCGAAGACCAGCACCAGGGGCCGCCGAACGCAATGCACCAGCGAAAGAGCCAGGCCGAGATGAGGACAGAGAACACATAAATGGTAAAGATTGACAACTCTTCACGGGTTAAAAAAGCATGCTCGAGGAAACGTCATGCAAGACTGGGAATGCACTTGCACTGCAAGTGGCAGCGTACGCGACAATGGAAACGAAACCCTTCGGCTGGCCTTCCGCCAATCTCCGCCAGCGAAAACGGCCTCGTCCTACTTCCGCGGCCGCGGGCTTCCGCTTCCCGCCGCCTTTCACCGAGGAGGAGAGGACAACTCCTTCGATCCTGGAAGGCAAGGCCATTTCTGGAACGCCTCACATGGAGCCAGCGATGTTTTGTTAAATCCCCTGGCGACCAATGAGACGAAGCCAGGACAGGAACAATATCGGACAGGGACAAATAGGAGATCTCTGAGCGGTTCTGGAGACCGCATCGGGCGCCGCGGCCTTCTCAGAGCATCCTGGAATGCTCTGCGAACGTTCCGAAGCGCTATTGAACGATCGATCCCTGCCTTAACCCACTCAAATAAAGGGCGTGACCAGGGGGGAGTGGCGGAGGAGGGAAGGGGGGAGAGGGGGGGGAAGGGGGGGCTGGGGAGACGGGGGGACGTCACGTTTCGCGCTGGCGCCGTCCAGGAATTAGCCACGGCGCTGGCGCGAATCGTGGCGTGACCAGAGGGGGGGGGAAAGGGGGTGGCGGGGCCAGTCGCGGGAGCTATCCCGAAGTGTTCGAAACGGGCTCCAGCGGGCCCCCAAAAAATGCACATCTTGAGAGGGCAACGTTCGCTTGCCTCGGCTTCCACTGGCGGAGCAGCCCCCGTTTTGCTTCCGCCGCCTTCCGCCGAGGAAGGGATGCCAATTTCTTCGGTCCCCGAAGGCAAAGCTGTTTCTGGAACGCCGCATCTGGCACGGGGCACCGTGGGGGACTCAGGAGGTGCAGACGGTGCAGACCAGCATGCGGCGCCAGCCCGCAAGAATTGCTCGCGAGATCGGGGGAAGAGGAGGGGAGGGAAGGGGGGGATAGGAGAAGCGAGGCTGGGGGGAATACAGATCCATGGGGAACCCCACGCGTGGAACGAGGAGCCCCGCTTGGAGCTCCAGTTGCACCCAGATTTGAAGGGGGCGCCACAGGAACAACACGTGTCCTTCCGAAGGCACACCAGGCCCCTCACAAAGCGCGGCGCTTCAGCGAGAGCACCCAGGGAGGAGGGAGGAGGGAGGAGGGAGGAGGGAGGAGGGAGGAGGGAGGAGGGAGGAGGGAGGAGGGAGGAGGGTTCAGTCATTCCGCGCGCGGCCAAATTTCCGACTGGAAGGGCGATGACAACATCCGGCGCGCCAGGCGAAAGTCTGCGCTAAGGCCACGCTTCCGCCTCCGACGGCCCGGCAATAGCGAAGCATGCGCACGGCGATCCAACGGAAACGCCGCTTGAAGGCAAGAACGTACGACGCTTTGGCGGAAGCGACATTCCGCCCGCTCGCGTAAGCAAAAATATTCTCAACTGGTTTGGGGGAAAACGGGACAGCTACGATATAAGGAGAGGTGCGCGCGGCGTGCAAGACGAAACGAAGACCCGAAAACCCTGAGCCAGGTTGCGTGAAGCGGGGAAACCAAAAGAGGAATGAGAGGCGGAAGAAGAGAGGTGCGTGCGGCGTTAGGGACCAAACAACGGAATAAACATAAAAACTCGGAGGTCAGAGCGGATTCCTCTGCTCGGCGCTGGGACCCCCTGGCGGCGCCTCCGGCGCCACACCCCGCGCGCTCCGCGCGCCAGGGAGGAGGGCCCAGCGCCGATCCAAGAAGTCTGCGCGGTCCTCCGAGCTTTTATGTTTGTGCCATTGCTTGTACCCCTAGGTGTGCAGCGAAGCTCGAGATGAACCGTGTTTTTCGTTGTCGTCCTTCCTGAATTAGGCTTGCCTGAGGAGTTCTTACTTGGTTAAAGGTTGGTGCCTCCTATTGTTACTTTGCCCGTTCCTCGGAGGTTCCTCGGGTTCCGCGGATTCCCCGCCCCCGATGCCTCCTGTTGTTACGTTGCCCGTTCCTCGGAAGTTCCTCGGGTTCCCCGGTTTCCTCGGGTTCCCCGCCGCCACCACACCAGACTCGACCGTGTCACGCGATCGCTGATGCAAGCACATGCAATCATGCCACAACGTCAGTCTCCACCATGTCACGCGTTCGATGATGCTCGGAGCCGTGTGGCTCAAGCACGCCCGAGGGCTCAGGGGGTTCCATCCGCCCAGTCGTGATGTTACCACTCCCACAAAGAGGTGCCGAAAAAACTGCAACCCGGAACAATGCAGATGTGTTCCGAGAGGTCGCATCAGCGATCCGACGCATGGAGGACGCACACACTCCAGGGTTCCGTGGGGAGGTACTTACCTCCCAACCAGCATCGTTACCATCGCAATTGGAGCACTCCCAGCAGATCACCACACAGCCTGATGGTCTTTGCCTAGCGTATGCTTGCATCGCGGCTCGCAACGCAAAACGTTGGCGAGACGAACGCGGAGAACAGCGGCTTCAGTTGCGCGGGCGCGCCAGGTTCAGTTCGTCGAGTTCGTTCCGGGCTCATTTTCAAAAGGATATCCCCTGATTGGGGTCGCGACGGGTTTGTGTTTTGGTTTTCCTTCGTCGTGTCTTCGTGCTGCCTCTGCTGCGGAACGAAAGCAAAACGAAAACGGCCCACTGGATCGCCAAAAGACAGTTTAGCCCGAGCCCTGGTGTGCAGCCAGGGAGGGCGGTCCAGCGCCGATACAAGAAGTCTGCGCGGACCTCCGAGTTGTCATGTTTATGTCATTGCTTGTGCCCGTGGGCATGCGGTCTCAGATAGGGCTCCAACAACGTCCAGGCGGCGGGGAGAGCGGCACGCGCGCCTGGCTTTCACCAACCTCACCCGCCCAGGCAGACCCCCTTTGATGCCCCGTGCCTTTCTCTCGCCGCCGGAGCCCCTTTCGGACAGTAAAACAAGCGAGCGACGAGCAAGAAGGGCCGCCCGCGCGGCACGCCACATTGGAAGCGAGGGCGCTCAAGCGCGACCTTATGCGGGCGGGCAGCTTACGCGCCAATGTCGGGGCAGACGACCCCGTTTTCACGCGTCGCTCAAGTGTCTCATCTTTTTTCTGCCTCGCCCGCGTCCGGAGGTCACGCAAGATACCGTGAAACCTGTGGCTGCGGGCGTTGGACAGCGCTGGCAATTCCAGCGGGGATGCACTCCCTACACGCGCCTGAGCGGGGTCAGTTCGCCACACTTCGTGGTGCCATTCAGGCACTCAGAGACCTTGTCGTGGTACTCGTCCACCCTGCTTGGCTAGCTGGGAGGCCCAAGGTAGCCCGAGGATGGGTCAGGGCCGGGAGGTCCGGGCAGGGGGAGGGTGGTCCTCTCCCGTCCGCCCCCTCCTTCTTCTTCCTATCAGGGACCATCTGGCCCTGGACCTCCGTCCTGTGAGCTACTCTCGGGCATTCTCAACCGGCCAGCCTGTGGAAGCGCGAGGGGTCAATTCTGGCCTTGGGGTCCCCCTTGCCGACGCCGTTCATCGGGATCTGGTGCCACACCTTCCAGGCGCGAAGCTGTCCTCATTACCTCCCCCCTCCTCCTCCTTCTCCTCCTCCTCCCCCTCCTCCTCCACAAGCTCCGTGTCTTCTCAGGTGTCTTCATCCTCCTCTCCTCCTCCTCCTCCTCCTCCTCCTCCTCCTCCTCCTCCTCCTCCTCCTCATCCTCCGCCTGAGACTTCCTCACCATGTATGACCCTGATGCTTCAAAATGTGCAAGAGCTTCACGGATTGAGGCCGGGTCGTTTTCAAAATGCGGCTGCCGCCTCAGCGCCGCGCACAATCAGTTCGGAATATGTGGGAGAATTTACCGGATTGGGGGCGGGCCGTTTCCAACATGTGGCTCTCGCCTCAGCGCCGCGCACATTCGTTCTAAACATGTGGTTGAGCTTCACGGATTGAGGACGGGTGGTTTTCAAAATGTGGCTCTCGCCTCAGCGCCGCGCACATCCGTTCTAAAAAATTGCAGGGATGTCCAAAATTGAAGGCGGGTAAGTTCCAACAAGTGGCTCTCGCCAAAGCCCCGCGCACATTCGTGCTAACAGATGTAAGAGCTTCACGGATTGAGGGCGGGCCATTTCCAACATGTGGCTCTCGCCTCAGCGCCGCGCACATTCGTGCTAAAAAACGCAAAAACTGTTCACGTATGGAGGGCGGGTCGGTTTCAGGATGGGGCTCTCGCCAAAGCGCCGCGCACATTCGTGCTAACATATGTAAGAGCTTCACGGATTGAGGGCGGGTCATTTCCAACATGTGGCTCTCGCCTCCGCGCCGCGCACATTCGTGCTAAAAAGTGTAAGAGCTTCACGGATTGAGGGCGGGTCGTTTCCAGCATGCGGCTCTCGCCTCAGCGCCGCGCACATTCGTGCTAAAAACAAAAAACGCTTCACTGATGGAGGGCGAGTCGGTTTCAGGATGGGGCTCTCGCCTCAGCGCCGCGCACATTCGTTTGAAAGACTCGCAAGGGTGTCACTGATCCTGATGGGTAACATACCAGAAATGGCGTATAGGAAAGATTCAGGATTGTCAGGGCGCAACAATTCAATCGATTCGCGGTGTTGAGGTCCCAAGAGTGTTCTGGCACGACTCAGGACCGCCAAGACGTAACGATCAGATTAACTCGTGGCGTTGACTTTCTGAGAACGGTGTTTTGGTACACTTCCAACTGTTCACGCGGTTATCCTCCAACGGGGCCGACTCACTCGGTACACGACCCAGACGGATGTAGAAACACAGGGGGAAGCATAGAAGAGACGCGGGAGAGAAGAAGCAAAGTCGAACATGCAGTGGCATACAGCGTAGATGGCATGCAGTGGCAGGCAGCGAAGGCGAGGCATCCGTCTGATTTGAATCATACGTCACTCAACTCGAGTCCTCAGCAGCCGTCGAAAGTGGCAACAGATTCGCAGTTCGCAGCCCCCCGTGGATGGTGAGGTCTAGTCTGGTCTACGTCCGACGTCACTCCGCCAGACATCCCCAGCAGCACTCGAAAGTGGCAGCAGTTTCGTAGTTCGCAGCCTCCCAGGGATGGCGAGGTCGAATCTGAGTATGCGCACGGCTCCCACAATGCTGCCCCCCCCTCCAGCAGCCCTCGAAGGTGTCGACAGTTTCGCAGCTCGCAGCCCCCCAGGAATGGTGAGGTCTAATCTAAGCCTTCGCTCGGTTCCCAGTATGGTAGCCACCTGGGCAGCCCTCGGAAGTGGCGGAAGTTCCGCAATTCGCAGCCCAACCAGAGTTGATGAGGCTGCACTCGGTACCCACTACTGGTCACTACATCAGTCTTCGAAGGTGGCGACAGTTTCGCAGTTCGCTGCCCCCTCAGGGACGACGAGGTAGGAGGCACAGAACACAGGCAGGAGACAAGTAGGGAGGCAGGAGAAGACAGGAGGACCAAGGAAGAGGGAGGTGGGAGAAGGACCTGGAGATAGCAGTGCTCTATTCAAACCACAAACCAACATCTCTGAGTCGCAGCGACGAAAGTCCTAGTCGTGTTCGTAGGCAGACTTGGGGCGCACGTGGCCGAAGAGAAGAAATCAAAACAGGAGCGTTCGGAACAAGGCACAAGCAAAGGGCGGGAGAAGAAATTCAGCCCCGAAGCGCCCGCATCTTCAGGTGCGTCAGGCCCGTCTCCTGGCGGGAGCCAGAAGCCAAGGGCCACGACTGTCCTGCTATCCCCCTCCATGGCCGCACTCCTCCGGCAGGAAAAGACAGGAGAAGAAATGTTGGGCCGGAGGGAGGAGAGGGGGGACAGGGTGAAGACCAAGCACTGCTAAATGGGGGTCACCACTACGGGCGGTCGCCAATTTCTCGAGGAAGCCCCATCTCCTCACGGAAATGGGGAACCAGGACACTCCAGAGCCAACCAGAACGGCTTCTGACGTCCAAAGACCTCCTCGAGCTTCGATCTTGGACCCTCGGCCCTCGGGAGACTGTGGTGACCCACCACAGCGGTGACCCCCCACGGCACTGCCCGAGAGGGGGGCACCACGGCTCCTTGCCGTAGCCGGGCGCCCACAGCAGCCCGCTGGCGGCGGTCTCGCGGACCCCCCAGGGGCTGTACTTGTGCTGCCAGACCTTATGGTAGTCCCACATGGGGCTTTCCTGAGGACGCTGAAGGCCATACGAATTCGATGTGGTGGTCTTGGAGGCGCAGTTCCGGCACGAACATGCCGCACGGCAATGGTTACTGCACGTCGTTTCCCGAGCGGGCTGGCCAGAAAGCGCCAGCCACGGGGCACTATAGGATTTATGAGCGCGTGCGTCGCCCTTGCGGGGCCGACGCACACACACACACACACACACACACATACACACACACACAGCATGGGTGTGTTTGGGTGGTGCCGATCTCCAGGTAGTCCATGAACTGGAGCTTGCTCATCATGAAGCAGCCTGCGCCGGGGGAGCACAGGGCCTGGCCGCCGAGGTCTGCTGCCCGCCCGGCTCGTGGCTTGGCCGCCCCGACAGCGGAGCGGGAGCGCCGCTGTTCTGCTTGAGCGGGAGAGGGCCGGGCCCCCGAACGGGAGTGCGGAAGTATCTCTTGAGAGGAGAAAGGAGCGAGCGCGACCACAGAACTTCACCTGACTCGGCCTCAACCGCTGAGCGAATCAAAACGTCGCCTGGCAAACAGGGAGCACCACCTGTCGAACGGGAGAGCCGAAGTGTGAGACCGATCCCCCCCTGACTCGGGGAACATCCGACTGCCATAAACAAACATCAACAGTCTGAGGTCCGCGTGGATTTCTTGGATCGGCGCTGGCTCCAGCGCCGCTCCGAGAAAGCCACGCCGACCTCCGAGCACCGGGGAGTCCTGGCGCACACCACGGTGACCCCCGAACGATCATGTGTTGTTCCCCGATCGACGGCGCAGCCTTGGGGCGCCCTGGAGGGACCCGCCCCCGCCCTCGGCCGCCACCACCCAACCAGCTACGCAACACGATGCTGGCGCGCGCAGGCCCCGACGAGCGCGTTCCGCGCAGCCTGTGCGCCCGAGCGGCCTCGAGCTGTGCGACCGCAGCCACTCCGAGGGGCTCGCGCGCGCTCGGGGCTGCGGCGGGCCGCGCGGCAGCTGCAGTCAACATCGGCAGCTGGGACGCGGGGTGCGTCCAGGAACTTCTGCTCAGCGTGTCGCGGCGGCGGCCCTGGCGACACGCTATGCCCTGCGATCGGATGGCGTGTCGCTCCGCGCATGGGGGCGGGAGACTGGGAAAGGCCCGGGACACTGGCGCTCGGAGGCGGGGGCGTGGGTGGCGTGTCGCTCAGAAACGTGGTGGGCCAGAACCGGCGGAGCGACGTTCAGCCAAAGATCCTGACCATACGGATGCAAGGGCCTTGGACCTTCCAAATTGGACACCCTTGGATGTCGAAGCAAGGACTGACCGGGGAGGCACGGCTGCAAGGGTGCCCTTGCGGAGGTACCGGGTCCTTAAGATGGATGGTGGCTGCAACTGCACCTTTACGCGCGGCTCGTGTGGAGAGGCGGCCGCGGAGGGAGGACAGAAGTCGGCGGCGAGCCCATGGGGGGGGGATGCACGGGGGCGGGGGGCGGGCCTTCTCAGAAGGCTCCGAAGGCCTCCGACCTTCTGAGAAGTGTTCGAAGCAATCGCCGCAGACAGAGACGGCTTCTCGGAAGGCCGGAGGGCTTCCGAGAAGCCCGCAGCCTTCGGAGAAGACCTGGCCCCTCCCACTTTCCCCCTGGGCGCGCCAGACGCGGCGCTGGCGGCCCTGGGCTCCCAGCACGAGCAGTGCGTCTTACTACCTACCAGACTTCCCCAACCCAACCCGAAGACCCGAATTTCGGGTTGGGGGGGGTACGGGCTTCACATGTTTCTCTTTCATCTGGTCCCCGACCCCTCCCCACTGGAAAGGGAGGGCATATCGGGGACCTCGGGTTGGGTTGGGGTGGTTTGGTGGGCGGTGAGCGTCGTGCACAAGTGGGAGACGCCCTGAAGCCTGCCACGGGACCCAGAGGGTCCCTGGGCAGCCAGGGGCAGCTGGCTAGGCGGAGGCAACCTGGATTGGGGAGACGTAAGACTCGTGTACGGGGGACTCAGGTTGGCCTGACGGGCCATCATAAAGATAACGAGACCTAATGTGAAATTAGATGCAAGCTCCCGCTGCAAACATCCCACGAAAACTAAGCCGTCAAGATCCAGGACGCGCTCGTCAAAAAACGTCTGCGAACCCGAGTTCCAGCTTGCTCGAGTCTCACTTTTCCCCGACTGAAGAGGTGCTCGACCAGGGGAGATCCCCGGCGGCCACGGACAGCGGTAGAGGCGGGGACAGCGGCGTACGTCACCGCTCGGCCAGGAAGATCCCACGGGAAGCCAGGGACAACGCAACGTGGACAACAACGGTCGGGGGGGCGAAGGGGTGAAGAGAGGGGCAGACAGAAGAGGGAAGAGCCCACGGGGCAAGAAGGAGACAATCCCGACTTCGATCGGTACTCCCGCCCGTTTCCAACGCAGGGCGGCCCCCGTGGTGGTTAGGTAGATGCTTTGTCCTTCGAAACGTGCTCTGATCTGCGAACTGGCGCTCCCACTACGCACCAGCCACGCTCATGGCTCGTCAGCTCTTACCTCTCTGGTCATAATTCCTCCTCTTCCTGCTCGACCGTCTCGCCCTATCATCAGCAGCAGCACCACCAGCAGCATCCTTATCAGTAGCATCATCATCATCACCAGCATCATCATCATCATCATCATCATCATCATCATCATCATCATCATCATCATCATCATCATGATCATCATCATCATCATCATCATCATCAGCATCAGCATCAGCATCAGCATCAGCATCACCATCAGCATCAGCATCATCAGCATCAGCATCAGCATCTTCATCATCAGCAGCATCATCAGCATCACCATCATCATCTCATCATCATCATCATCATCATCATCATCATCATCATCAGCATCATCTGTATCGTCGTCATCACCATCATTATAAGCATCATCATCATCAGCATAATCAGCATCCTAAACATGACGACCACTGCCATCATCCACACAACCCTCAATCACCATGATCATCATCGTCTGCATCATGATCATCATGAGCAGCACCGTCATCAGCGTCGTCATCATCTTCAACATCATCATCAGCATCGTCAACATCATAACCGGCATCGCCATCATCAGCAGCATCAGCAGCAGCATCATCATAATATCCATCCTCCCAATTATCCTCCCTCTCCTCCTCGCTCTCATCCTCTTTCATCGTCCTTCCTCCTTGCGCTCCTGCGCATGCTGGTCATCCTAGTCATCCTCCTCACCCTACTCATCCTCAGACTCGCCCGCCTTGGCTGTATCGTCCTTCACGCCCTTCTCCTTCTCATCCTGCTCGTTCTCCTCCTCCGTTGCGAATGACAACGGCTAACAGCAGCTTGAAGGGACCAGTTGGAGACGCAGCATACCAGAGGCCGTGCGAGCGCACCTAGCTAATCTCTCCTGCCCTCCCCGTCGACTCCCAATCTGAATACGGCTCTCAGGTATCTCTGGGTACTGCCTAACACACCGCCGCCTCTGCCGCGACATGCTGTTCACGCAGGGACGATCAGTAGGGTGATGCTCAACATGATTGTGCTCGGTCGAAGTGTTCTCGGCCACATCAACACAAAATACTCTCCCGCTGCCGCGCTGGCCGAATGTCAGGATCGACGCGGTGCGCCTGCCGTTCAGGATGGCGCTCTCGCCCCAGCCCCAGCCACATGTATGAACCCGACTTCTTTCTGGACGATGTCGACCCCTCCGTTGCCCTTCTCCGCCTTCCCCTGGTCCTCCAGCTCCTCCCGCTCCTCCTATCCCGGCATCGTGCTCGTGGACGGCCTTCTGGAAGTGTTGTGCAGTCGTCTCGCTGGAGATCCTTGCCTTCAAGAAGGTGGAGTTCTGAGCGCCCCCCCGCCTGCCTCTGCATGCTAAGAGGATCGCCCCCCGAACCGCGTAAGTGTGTGCCTCCCGCTCCTCCTGCTCGTCCTGCTCCAGCGGCTGCGCCTTCTGGCCCTCCTCCTCGTCCGCCTTCGCCATCATCCTTCCCCAGTGTACAAAGCCTCCCTCCCTGGTCGCGCATCACACGATGGGGCCGATTGCGGGATCAAGGTCCTCTACGACACCCCAGTCGACGGATAGAAGAAGTTCGGCGAACTGGGAAGGAATAGAAGTGACGTATCGATGTCATCAGATATGGCGCGAGCGCACCAAGCTTGCCACTCTCTCCTCTCCCTTTTCCCATTCCCCCCCTCCCTCCCTTCTGACAACCTCTGCACCAGCTACATGTGCCCGTGGCCATCTAGAGAGGGGGGGGGGGGCAGATTTGAACAAATCTGTCCAGCCTGAGTACGGGTTGAATGGCCGAAGATAGTGGCGGTCCCTGCTGGTTTTGTAAAGCGCCAAGTTTTTCTCATCCTTGTCTTCCAGCACTTCGGTCTTGTTCACACAGTCCTCGGTGAAGCAGTCGACGGCGATGACATCTGGCGTGAGGATTTTGTCCTCTGCGCGCATGGGAAGCAACAAGTATCCCCTTTTGTACAGGGTGTCCACGTGGTAGCGCCAGAAATGGAATGCCGTCTCTGGAATGATGATGTCTGACTCGGTGTAAACGTAGGCGTCATAGACGGGCTCTGCCAACAGCTCGTAGCCCAGCTTCGTGGTTGGGGCGCCTCCTGTGCTGGCGCTGCGCAAAACACGGATGGCCTCCCAAGGCACACAGAACCTGTGCTTCCACGACTCGCTGCAGACCGGCTCGTCCGAGGATATCAGGACCTGACGTTTCACCATGTGCTTAACCTCTGGTACGATCTTATTGGTCAGCACGTACACGGTCAGGTCGACCCTAGGCCACTCGTGCATGGCCTGGGGAGCCACCGATCGCTCAGTCGTCTTTGACGGGGCGCTTTGACCCTTCACCGAAAACTGGTTCAGTCAAACAGACATATACCGACAGCGGATGTGCCTAGGCCCTCCCCCTCTCATCTTCAGCATGCGCTATGGACTTCTGAGCAACCACGACGTCTGTGAAGGCGACTTGAACTTGCCCGCCCGCGACGATGCCTTGTCGCCCAACCACATCGGAGCCTGATGTCTTGCGCGCTTTGCCGGATTAGCTCTAGACCGCCCCAACAACCCCAGAGCCCAAAACGCAAGTGAGAAGGCAGACCCTAACAAGGACGAGTATAATCAGAGTGCTTCCCGAAATCAGGGGTTCTTGCGTCCGTTTTACATGAGTGATCTGCGTTTGGGGGGTTGTGCCTGATGGCCGCCCGTGGCCACCCCGTGGCCACACCATGCGCTGGCTGGCGCTGCTGGATGTTCGCCGTGTTGCGGCTAGTGGCCCCCTCGTGGCCGCCTCGTGGAAGCTCTATGCGCTGGCTAGTTTGTCCGGACTTTCCCCCGTTGGCCGCCCGTGGCCGCTCAGTGGCCGCCTAGTGCGCTGGCTGGGTTTCCAGAATGCAACAACAGCGCGCACCAAATAGATTGCACCACATGGGTTGCACATTATATCCGGCCTCCAATACATTGCACGACATATGTTGCGACTGCACCACATGGATCGCGCTCCATCCATCGCATAAACTGAAATCGAAATATTGAACCACATGGGTTCCCCTTTCTGATTGCAAGTTACATGCGATTCCGCCGCATCGCCCATTCGAAATACGAACTCATACACATCCAAGCACGCCAGTATCGCCCACCCTCCCCTCATCCCCTGCGGAAAATATCATGCGCGCACTCGCTGATCAAAAATCATCCATGTTCAAGAACCCTCTGGGGAAAATGGAATGGAGTGCGCGCACGCGCGCGCGTCGCGCGCGCATGCCAAAATCTGTCCAAAACTCCTTCGCCAGGATTTCAACATCGGATGCCCCGAAAACATATACAACACACATGGCTTCCCAACAACGATGTTCAAAAAAACGCGTGCGTTCGGGCTCTTGCGCATTATTGAGGAAACCATCGGTTCCTCAACATGTCCACGACATGCTACCAAGCGGGCCTGTAGCGGGCGCGTGTCGGAATCGCAAGAACGCCCTTGCGCGCGTGGTGTCGCAAAAAAACCGGTGCAACAGACGGAACGAAGTGGACACGCGCGCGTCGTCGCGCGCACGCCACAATCCGTCAAAAACCCTAGATGCTGGAAAGATTTCAAAATCGAGTACCCCGAAACATGTTAGACAAAAATTAGCCTCGCAACACAGAATCTTAAGAAAGAAAATTCAATCGCGCTTTTGCGAATTCTGAAGAAAAACAAGGAGGTGCTTCCACATGTTCATTAAATATCGCCAGTCGGGCCTCCCGTGCTGCATGTCGAAATCATTCGAACGCCTTTTTTCCCCGCGCGCGCTGAGGGGTCACGATCCGTGTCGGATAACACAATGCGGACCACCCTCGCGCGTCAACCGCGCGCGCATGCCGAATTTCTTCCAATACCTTCATCAACGACGCGAAGACGCCGTCCTCGTCGTCGGCGTGATCAGCATCGGCGCCGTCACTGGCCTTGCCGTCGTCGTTGTCACCATCGCCACCAGCATCGCTAATATCATCACCGTGTCTACCGTTGCCGACGTTGCCATGTTACCGCGCCTGCCCAAATCGCCGACTCGCACTGATGTGTCCGCTGGGAAGTGCCCAAACGGTCAGCGCCACCGCAGCCGCGTCAGTCGAGTCAAACTAGCTGGCCGCTGCGCGCGCGAGCATGCGCGGGCTGGCGCGGACGCAGACATGTACCAGCCAACACCACGCACTCATCGCAATCGCCGCCACATAGGTTTTGCAAACCAAGTTGCGGTTGGGTGGGCGGGATGATTGCGCGAGCGATGGAGCTGACAACTTCTAGCCCGGCAGGGTGAAATGCACCACATAGATTGCACCACACATGTTGCCCCCCTTTGGGTGCACAACATATATTAGTAGAGGCGCACTGTTTGGGTCCACGCTGACCAACACTTTGTCAGAAGTAACACGCTGATGGGACCGTCCGACCAGAGCGACATCAATACTGGTTCTGCTCTCCGAGCAATGACAATGGTCTCCGCGAGGTGTGAGGGCTCCATTGGAAGAGCCGGTCGTCATACCTTCACAGGCGCCGTGGCAACCCAGGCCCCGTGGGGACCGTCAGCGTCTCGTGGAGCGCGGCGTTGCGACGAGTCGCCCCCCCGCTGCGACCAGGAACGAAGTGAGAAATGGTCGGCTGCACGCAAGAAGTGGCCCTGTGCAAGAGTGGCCCCTGGAGCGCGGATTCAGAGAGCCGAGGGAGACCCAAAATTCCAAGCGCACGAGCCAGAGCTGCAAGGACCCCTCAGGCCCTGGGGAAGGGCACCACTGGCGAAGGGTCACTCTTACGCGTAGCCGAGATGACCGCCAAGACGCTCTTCATCTCCATCCGTGCGGAGCGGTTGAGGTCCTCTGCGATGTAGGACCCGGTGCGATCGCTGCCGGTCCGGAGGGCCTCCTTCTGGAGCCGGAGCACGCGCGTCCGCCCCTGGCGGTCCCTGCTAGTCTCGTGC